CAAAAAAGACACATAATTAGCTTTGAAAAAAATCCGACAACTTTTTTGTTAAAATTCTTATACTTTTCATCTCGTTAGGTAAAGCATATAAAATTGAGGCAATCCATCATGGGAGACTTTTATGATAGATGGTGCGCTTTCTTTTAGATAAACGGAAAGTAGCTATATTATTTTATAAATAAAGATAAGATTCAGACTCTTCATTGAAGCTTTAACTGAATTTAATTATTTTTTAATTTTCCTCTAGAGTTCCCCCGTAATATTTTATTTTAAGAATTTCTTTCCTTCTCTGTCAAAGTTAAAAACGCTCCTAATATAATTTGGAAGATGAAGCCTAAATGCATAAATTTTCTGCTACGCAAATGATTTCGGACATATGAATAGAAATGAATAGACAAATAGAACAAATTGAAAAATTTTAATTAAATAATTCATAAAAAAGAAGAAAAATAGAGAATGGCATAATTTAAAGAATGAGGATAATATAGAAGAAAAAAAATGCATACATAGAGCTTGAATATCTTTACAAAAAATCGAGCGAAAAAAACGAAATTTCTGATTAGACCACGTATCAAAAAAAAATAATAATGCTGATCTAATAAAAAACAGTATACCGGGTGAGTCTCAAAAGTGGCTCACCCCTACAACCTTTTTATTTTTTCAGATAAAAAAACGAGATTTGGTGTGTTATATGACATAAATTAGGATTGATTGGCATATTCAATTGTTTTTCGTCACTTTCTGTTTCACCGGAAATTACTACAAATTTTGATTTTTAAATGACACCCTCGTTATTTTTTAATTAATTCGATAGAAAATGACACTCTGAATAGAATGACATATCATATGTCAACTTTTGACATTTTCGCATATAGTTTATTTAAAATTGTAACATGCGTAAAAAATGCAAATATGCTAACGAGCCACCCTTACCTGTTTAATACCAGTGTTAATACCACCCTTGTTCTATTTGAAAAAATTGAGATATGATAAAAAGTACGATTTGGGCATCTTTTAGATGGTCGGACTTGCAGGATAAGACGGTAAAAACATTAGACAATCAAATATATTTCTCCAAGGCTCCTTGATTAAACATAGTGTTTTTAACATAGCCAGATTTTTTTAAGTGAGAATATCAAAAGTTGACATATAATATGCCATTCTATTCTGGGTGTCATTTTCTATCGAATAAAGTAAAAAAAAATCCGAGGGTGCCGTTTCAAAATCAAAAGTTGTAATAATTTCCGGTGAAACAGGAAGTGACCAAAAACCAGGCCAAAAACAATTGAATACGTCATTCAATCCTAATTTATGTCATATACTAATATACTAAATCTCGTTTTTTTTTATTTGAAAACAAAGTTATAGGGGTGAGCCATTTTTGAGATGCATACAAGAACTAGAAAAGAATAACAATTATTTTTGAAGCAAGAAAAATTCAACATAGAAATATAAAATGAACATAAAAATGTTCATTGAAATATAAAAAACAAGATTAGAAAACTTAATAAAGTATATATTATTATATTAATAACAAAAAAATATAGAGCTAATTGTCGCATATCTTTTATATCTCTTAATCTTACCACCTAGATGATATACTTCGGATCACACACATACCTGAAAAAGAAAAACAAATATTAGTTAAATATTAAAAAAAAATCTCTTCGCATATGCGCGACTTGATTTAGTTCATCCTTATACCAAATGTCAACAATATCAACACTTTATTGCAAACCGTCTTGAAAAATATCGATAACTTTTTAGGGCAAGCCATATCGAAAAATTTTTAGGAAAAAAAATAATAGTAAATAAAATTTAAAATTAATAGTTTTAAATTTATTTTATTTACGTTTATATTACGAAATACCAGATAAAACTATCAACGATGCTGTGCATTTCCCGTGGGGTTTAGGTTTCAATTCCGGCATGCATTCTATATAAATTACGAGACCGCCAAGCGTGGCAGTTTAAGAAATACATATATATTTTTTTCTTTCTTCTTTATGCCTTGGAATGCTTATTACGACATTTTGATAAAATTGTTATCGTGTGTTTAAAAATATAATTTGCCCAACGAAAGGGTACCTGACAGTGACAATTATTGCCTGTCATTTTAATCCACATTTAAATTGAATTTACTGTCATTTTTTGAATGTCTTCTATCTAGGTTCTTGGACAAACTTAAATATTAAAAATAAAATAAACGAATACTGCCAACAATAGGTAATTTAAATAAAAAGTTAAACAACTTTATCAAAGTAAAACCTGTAAAGCGGGTAAGGGGACAAATAACTCACAATCTTTATGTTTATTTAAATTTAAATGCTTCAAAAAAGCAGGGGGGCGACATGTTTCGGGACTTAAACAATTCCCATCATCAGGCTCAGAAAGCTGAACTAATTACAATCAGAATAATAGAAAATTCCAATAGTCAAACAGAGGTCAAAATTATAAAATACGATCACAAAATAAATTAAAAAGTTATTTTTTTTTTAATTTACCATTTTTAATTTATTCCATAATAGCTTTAATATGGCTGCAATAAGAGCTTATTACTAATAATTTGTAGAAGCATGTGGAAAGTTTTTTTTTTATTTATTATAGATCATGTTATGTTAATTTAATATGGTAACCCTACAATTGTTAATAGTCAACAGTTATAGGCAACCTTAAAACGATACAATTTTATTAGTTTAAATTTCATTCCATGTACTCATGCACAAGCCTAACTACGAATTATATTCGCGTCCAGTCCGAATGTATTATCTTGATTTTTCTATACGTAGTACCGTCCCTGCGTGCACAATTTTAAAGCTATAAGCTAAATTCCCTCCCGCCACCAGTGTAGGTGGCCGCGCCGGCCCCGGCGCGGCGGTCGGTGTTCATTCGTATTTCGTGCACGGTGCAGTGCGGATCGTAGCTCTCTGATTTCTTCGTCGTAGATCGATGAAGCCATTTTGTTTATTCTCTACTCATTTTGGATATTACTATGTAATATACGGTGTTCTACAGCTAGGTAGAACACAAGGAACAATATGTAAGTATTGTATAATTTTTATTTTTAGAGAAAAACGAAGTGGACGTAAATAACGGAATATTAGAATTAGATAAAAGAAGAAAACAATAAGAATATTATATATATCGGACTGTTGTACTCTCAGTGAGACAAAGTTCGTACGTGTAAAGAATGTCCTTCTCCTTGTAAGAGGAATTCTCATTTATATAAGGTTCTATATCTCGCAGTCAAGAGAATATTATAAATGCCAAAGTGTTGCATCTCCGAGTGAGTCAAATTTCGTACTTTTAGAGGATGGCCATATGAGAGAGATTCCTTTTATAAGTCAATATTGATATCCCACTATCGAGAGATAAATTACAGGTATCACAGGTAAGTATCTTATAATATTTATTTTCAGGTAATTAAATAATGGAGGGAAATAATTGAAGTGGAAGCAAATCTCTAAATGTAGAAATTAGAGGCAAGGAGGAGACAATGGAAGTAGACAAATGGAGAAAGCAATAAGAATATCGTATATATCGAACTGTTGTGCTCCCAGTGAGACAAAGTTTCCTATTTAGAGAATGCCCTTCTCCTCGTGAAAGGGATTCCTATTATATGAGGTTAGAAATCTGGCTATCAAATAATATTATAAATATCGAACTGTTGTTTTCCCAGTGACGCAAAGTTTCCTATTTATAGAGAATGCCCTTCTCCTCGTGAGGGGGATTCCTATTGTATGAGGTTCTAAATCTCTCTATCAAGAGAATATTATAAATACCGAAGTTGTGCCGAAGTGTTGTATCACCCAGGGAGTCAAATTTCTCATTTTTCGAGAATGGCCGTCTCCGTGTGAGGGATTCCTTTTATAAGTCATTGTTGATATCCCCTATCGAGATATTAATTACACGTATTACCGGTGAGTATCTTATAATACTTATTTTTAGGAAATTAAATAATGAATGGAAATAATTAAAGTAAAAGCAAATTTCGAAATATGGAAATTAGAGGCAAGGAGGAAACAATGGAATTAGACAAAAAGAAAAAATGAGAATAACATATATATATCGAACTGTTGTCCTCTCCGTGAGACAAAGTTTCGTACTTACAGAGAATGCCCTTCTCTTCGTGAGAGGGATTCCTATTATATGAGATTCTAGATCTCGCAATCAACAGAGTACTATAAATGCCGAAGTGTTTTATCTCCCAGCAATGAAATAAGGTATGAAACAAAATTTTGTACTTTTAGAAAATGCCTATCTCTGGAATGGATTTCTTTTTTTATGAGATTTTAGATCTCACTCTCAAGGGAATATTATTTATATATTTAGGTGCCAAATATTTGTATCTCCCAGTGAGACAAAATTTCGTACTTTTAGAGAATGCCCATCTCCGTGTGGGAGGGATTTCTTTTATACGTTATCGATAGCCTTATCGAAAAATTAATTACACGTATTACATGTAAGTCTTTTAGAATATTTATTTTTAGACGAATATTGGATGGAAATAAATAGAAGTACATCCCGAAATGTGGGGATTAGAGGAAAGGAGAAAACAAAGGGATGAGGAATATTGTATAAACACGGACTGTTCTTCTCCCAGTGTTCTTTTCATAGCGAGACAAAGGTTAGTACTTTTAGAGAATCCTCTACTCCGTGTGAGAGGGATTCCTTTTTTAAGATATTCCAGATCTCGCTATCGAGATAATATTATAATAACCGAAGTGTTGTTGTCTCAATGATACAAAATTTTGTAATTTTAGTGAATGCCCTTCTCCGTGTGAAAGGGATTCCTTTATAAATTACGTTCTCGGTCTCGTTATCGTAGAAGTAGATTTCACAAAAGAATTTCAAGTAACAAATCTAAAATTTTAGACCCTCAAAAAAAACAGGAAAACTCCTCCAGACATTATATTTATAAGGCTGTACGTTCAAAAAGCAGGACAGTCGCTATTTAAGTGTCACTATCTCATAACAGATCGAACACAAGCTCAGCAACTAGGAAGAAGAAAATAACCAAATCTAGCGATTTGTGCAGTTTGTTGGGGGAAGGGCAATCCAAAGAGACTACAGAACATTTGACTCTTCGATGATGATTTCTTCTTCGGGAGACGAATTCAGTCTTAGCCAATGATCTGGCTTCAGCACAGAACAAGGTCCAACTTTTATATCTGCTAAGCGGCGAAATCTACTTGAAAAAATATTTTAACTCCCTAATTTACCAAGGAGCCATGGCATGTCGCCTATCCTCTCCTGTGTCATAATTGTTAAGATGAAGTCCAGCATATTTTCGAAATCAAACTCTTAAAAAAAAATATCTGGGTTATAAAATTTAACAATAGTCGTCGTAGACTCAATATTCTTTTAAAGGAAGAGAAAAATATTCATAAATATATCATGGAACAAATATGGACGGTTGTTATAGATACCGGACGCATAGTCCTATGTGGTTGACGGTATCTTGTACGAAAGGTATCAACTATTTTCCCTCTGAAGGATTTTCAAATGAAAATCATGAGGAAGAAGGACCTCTGGATAAATTTACGTTTGAACCTTGCTTAGAGGAAAACATACAAACAACGGAATGTATCCAGATATTTGTGACAGATATTCGAATATGTCTTTACCTTCCTTCTTTGAAAAAGAAGGGGGGGGGGGTGATACATGAGGCACGAGCGGCCAATTCATTAGGTACCCTCCAGTTTGCTGCCTTGCCAGCCTCCTACCATAAGCTAATAATATAATAACTCAAATATGTATATAATAATAAAATAGCTAATATCCTAGATTTTCATAGCTAATATGTAGTGTGTGTGTGTATATATATAAAAAAAAAAAAAAAAAAACGTCTCCTATTTTTCTCTATTTTGGCTAAAGAAATTTCTCTATTTTGGCTAAAGCTATTCTAATGGAAATGTAAGTTTTATTCTAAATCTTAAGAACACGTAACTGTGTCTCATTTCAAAAGGAGGTCCTTATGATAACGGCTGTTAAATGCTAATTTGTTTATGTAAATCTTTGACTTTCATATGTTGGAATACTCACCATCTACATTTAGAGTTTATATTTACCCATTTCGGTCTATAAAAGCAGTGTTGTGTTTTTTGGCCAATACTTTATACATTTTGACAAAGTGACAGACTTTGTGCAAATTATCGAAACAAAAAGTTAGTTTTTTCTTACAGCTTACAGTATATAATATATATTTTCTCCTCTACAATACACTTTCGAAAGAGATGATTATAATAACATTAATGTAAACTTTCGCAGACTTTGAATTTTTTCTTAAATATATCTGGATGGTTTCTCGTTGAAAAGAAGAGGTTTTTGTAAGATATGATGTGTCTAAGGTTTACTGCATTAAACTTTTTACCATAAATGTTCCCTAACAGTTCTACTTTCTTATCTAGAAATTTCGGAAAGAATAGACATATCAATTAAATCATAAAGTAGAAATAGTTTTTCTTGCAGTTTACGTATATAAATAGATTATATAATTCTTGCCGTGAACTGCTATGAAAAATAATAAATCATATATTGGTTTCACGTTTAACCTTAGATATCAGAGACAGATGTCATTTTGTTTTTAGTCAGTATATAATTATATATGCATATCATAGTTACTGAAAATTATCAACAAAAAAAATAATACAAATAATAATAAAACTTCTGGTATAAAATTGACACAGATCAATATCTGTGTCTACTTTATATCAATGTCCACAATATCCATACCAATGTATGGATCGAAACCTAATATATATGATGACTCTGGTTTAATTCATCGACGTAATTAAAGCATTTTGGAAAATAAATTATTGAGAATCTTAATTTCTTACTAAAGGCTTAAAAAGTAAGGCCTTTTAAATATTAAGCAATGGGTTATAAACACCTTAAAAAATATATATATATATATATATCGGTTAAACCTCACTATAGTCGAGTTATCCACGCAGTTCTACATTGAGACAGGGATTTCTATCGACACGATGAGTTAACTGGTTTATAAAGTATAATTGAACAATTTTGGCAGAATCCTTTATGGAAGTGCCATCTTATGGGTTTCTGTCTCTGCTTAGTATGCATATATGTATAGGTTAAATTGTCACAATTTAATAAATCCATGTATTGATGGCCGTTAAATTGGTTTCATCTTGGTTGCATTCAATAAACATATTTATAATTTCAGCTTTTTTGTCTCAAAAAAAAAAATGCTTTCTGCACCACATTCATTAATTTGCAACCATCAGTTCTTTAAACATCTACGTATAGAAAAATCAAGATAATACATTCGGACTGGACGCGAATATAATTATACGATCAAACGAACTTACCTGAAGTGAAGTTCGATCGTAATTATATGAGGCGTCCAGTCCGAATGTATTATCTTCCCACCCCTCCCGTTTTGCCCCATGGTCGCTTGAATTAATGAATAAATCTTTGAAAAATGAACACCGACCGCCGCGCCAGGGCCGGCGCGGCCACCTACACTGGTGGCGGGAGGGAATTTAGCTTATAGCTTTAAAATTGTGCACGCAGGGACGGTACTACGTATAGAAAAATCAAGATAATACATTTGGACTGGACGCCTCATATAATTACGATCGAACTTCACTTCAGGTAAGTTCGTTTGATCGTATAATTCTATTTTGGTATTCGCACGTTCCCTATCCCCATCTTTATTTCCAAAAATATCCAAAGCAAAAAGAAAATAAACAGATGTATCCTTTAAGACAGGCATATCTCTTAGTGACATTCTTAAATGTCAAGATTGGGGAGATTTAAAAACAAGTTTATCTTCAGCCATTGATAGAGTTGAACAAATGATAGTGACAAGACATATTTGCTTCGCAGAAGTGTTATCAATTTTAATACAGTTTGTGTGAAAAACTCTGTGTATACATCTTCATTGTGTGTACACAATAAAGACGTGTTAATGAAGATCATCTTCTGTGCCCTGTATTAAGTGTCTTTTTAACCAAAAATCGATATTTCGGGGAATTTTTATTTCTGTCAATTGTAATTCGGTGATTTTTCTTTTCGGGGAACTATTTTAATTCCGTGAATTTTACTTTCGAGTTTTTAATGTTCTTTTCGGTCAACTGTTTTCGGGTAATTTTACTTCGGTCAATTTTCATAGATCTATTAACTCTCCCTTTTTTTGCACTGAATATTTGTATTGTATCTTCTACTGCTCTATTGTAATTTTTTACTATTTTCTATTTTATTTCCTTAATCAACCACAGTTCGCAACTAAATATATTTATCCGATTTAAAACGTTTTTCTACGTTGACCAATACCCAATTTCCAGCCTGTTCTATTCGTACAATCCTCTGTTGACAGGTTTCTTTCACTCATCTGAACGTTTTTTTACCATTCCAGTTTCGGTCTACCCTGGTGTTTTTTTTTCTGCCCTTTGATCGCCAATTGATTATTTTCTTGGGCCATCTTGTATTCTTCATTCGCTCTACATGTCCGTACCAGATCAGCTGCTTTATCTCTATATCCTGTGTTATCGTGCCAACTATACCCATTTGTTGTTTTATGGTATTATTTCTTATTCGTTGTTGTCTGGAAATTCCCACTGATCTTCGAATGGCATCCATTTCTATGGCCTCTATCTTCTTTATTTCTCAGTTATTCTCCACGTTTCTGCTCCATATAGGAGGCTGCTCTTTATCATGGTCTCATATAAAATGAATTGTCTTCGCTTTGTTATTGATTTGCTCCATAAGCTTCCATTTAGACATCCGATTATTTTTTTCGCGTTGATAATCCTTTTCTCCATTTCTCTGCCATCAGTTCCACTGTTATTGTAGTGTATCCAAGTATTCATACTCTTGACACTGAATAATTTCTTGACCGTTATCCAAGTTCAAATTTTCTTGTGCGCCTATACATAGATACTTTGTTTTGTCTATGTTAACACATTGTCAAGCCTCATTCTCCGTATTCTTCAATAATTTTTCTTAACATATATTGCATATCATCTTTGTCATTGGCGACTATTATTTAATCGTCTGTGAATTGAAGAGTGAACAAACATTCATTGTCAATCTCTATGCCCATACCACGGATCTTTCTTTTCCAATTTTTTAAAGCGACTGCAACGTATATTTTAAAGAGAATAGGGGAGATGCCACAACCTTGGCGTAGGCCTTTGTTGGTTATAAACGTTTCTGTAAGCTTTTTCCTACCTTTAATTTTGATTTTGCGTCCTTATATAGTTCCTTCAGAGCTGTTATATATGTAATAGGTTAATGGTAGATTGTTCCAGTACTCTCCATAGACTGAATATTGAGACAGTGTCAATGTGTGTCCAAGTTTCTTGTCGATCTTTTTTCTATAACTTGTTTTAAACAGTTCGCAACTAACCCAATTGAAAATTCAACAGTCAACAAAACAAAAAAAAATAACAAACTAATAAATATTAGTACGTATAATTTAACAGACGTTTTAAATTACATTTTGCAAAGACTGATAACGATGTCTAAGTAATGGCCTGAATAGTCTTAATTGTTAATGTCAATTGAGTGAATAGGACGCGAGAATTGGAGAATACAAAGCGCGCTATTTTTAGTGGAGATAATCAGAAGGCGCACGAATGCCAGCCACTACTTAGAAACCCACACTCGATTAAAGTTTCTTTCGTACTTGATGACGGACGTCGTTTTCGGCTACACGCTATTAACAGATTAAAGTGACAAGAAAAAGCAACACTGCTTCTTGAATTCCACAGCTTTTGTTGTTGGTGACTTTGGCAAAAGACCGATCTTCATGTAATTATAAAGAACTACCTGTCCGTTGACATGTCCTAAGTTGTTTTAAATTGCTGTAAATATTTCATGCCCAACAGGACAGATCAAAAGAAATGAATATTCCTAAGCCACGTTAAAGTTTAAAGTTTTTAAAAAATCCTTGATAATTTATAAGATTTCTCACTTTCCTCCGAAAATTGGAAAGATTAAAAAATAAATAATACACACACCGGAAAAATCTAGGGATATCATTTTATTAAAGTAAAAAATAAATGTTTTGAATAAACAACCACATATTTGTAGGCCGATTCTTTCTACTTCGATTGAAATGAAGTAGTCACACTAGTTATTTCTAAATTTGGGATATTTGCAGAAGTGTTTGTGCATTTGTTGTCAAATGTATAAAAAGCACTAGCATCAATTGTTCGAATTTAACCTGTACTGGCTATGTTTTTATGATAATTGGCCAGAATTCATTCAAATAACTCTGTTTAGTATTAAACAACATTATGGAGCGTAGATATCTTAACAGAGACGAAATGCTAAGGGCCATGGGTATGCACGAAGCTGGAATGCGCCAAATCGACGTAGCTAGAGCATTAAATACAACGCAAAGTTTAATATCGCGATTAAGTGCACGCTACCGTGAAAGTGGTGATGTTGCTGAAAGGCACACAGGGCGACATCGCATTACTACCCCTCAGCAAGATCATTTTTTACAATTAAATGCTCGACGCCGACCGACTCTTACAGCACCAGAGCATAGTTTAATTCTCCAGGAAACACATAATGTAACCGTTAGTCCTGACACTGTTCGCAATAGATTAAGAGAGGTCAACTTAAGAAGCAGACGCCCCTGGAGAGCTCAACCCTTAACGAGAGGAAATCGAGAGGTACGATATTTGTGGGCTCAAGATCATGTTCAGTGGTCGAATGAACAATGGGCCAATGTTCCCTTCACGGATGAGTCACGCTTTGGTATTCATCCGGATTCGAGAAGGCTTAGGGTATGGAGAGAACCGGGAAATCTTATTCGGTTGGATCATGTTCCCCCTTATCAAGGTGGAACAGTTATGGTCTGGGGTGGAGTCCAGTTAGGCCGAAAAACCGATCTCGTTTTTCTTGAAATGTTTGTAACAGGAATCACATATCGTGATTTAATTCTTGAGCCTGAAGTGTTACCATATGCCAATGATTTTGGGAGAAATTTCATTCTCGTGCATGAGAATGCACGGCCTCATACAGCCAGAGTGGTAAGTGAGTTTATCAATGCTCATCAGTTAAACATCTTACCCTGGCCGGCACAATCTCCTGACCTCAACCCCATCGAGCACGTATGGGACGCGGTCCAAAGAAGAATTTTGAGAATGGGTATGCCTCGTGAAACTCGTAAGGATCTGGTTTGGGCCGTGAATGCTGCGTGGCAGGCTGTACCTCAAGAAGAGATCGACAACCTGATCAGGAGCATGGAGAGACGATGTAGGGCTGTAATGAACAGTAGAGGAGGCCATACCCTTTATTAAGTAAAAATGGTTTCATCTTTTTTTTTTAATTCACAGTTTAGAATAAAAAAAATGTGTGTATTTTTCACACAGTTCAATAAAAATCAAGGTAAATTTGAAAAATTCGGTAAATTTCGCATTTTTATTTCCAATACGTCTTGTAAACTATTTGTTTATTTTAATTTTATTATATCAGAAATGCAAATAATAAAATTACTGACGATGGCTGGATAAAATTGTAATATCCCTAGATTTTTCCGGTGTGTGTAGTTTAAAAACTAAAAAAGTGATAATAATAAAAAAAATCATTTTTAACAGAACGTCAACGGTTTTTGTATCTGTTTTAAAAAACTAAAGTGTTCTCGAATAGTTGAATTTAAATATTTTAAACAATTTTTTTCTTTATTCTTTGTATTTTTTTTTGCTAATAAAATATAGAGAACAAAAATTACAAAAACGACTGCCAAATAGATTACACCCTATAAAAAGAGAGCTCTCAATCCTAGTAAAATTATTTTTAAATATTAAATAAACGAGTTATTTTCCTGTAGGATAAGCTACTATATTTTTGATGTTGGTTAAATTAGTGAATATTATATTTATTTTCATTAATATTACTCAATTAATTCTCATTTCTTTTAAAAAACACTGTACTTCACTTAGAGCACATGTGCGTGTCGGATACACAAAAATAAAAAGACTTTTGTTGCAATGATTGGCATAAAATTTAATGCGTGTTTTAAGACATCACATCTGATATATGACGCGATGTCTTCATGTAAACTAACTCATTTTAGACCTAAATAAAAGCAAAAAAGAAACCACTGTAACTGGATATGAGTACTTGTCAACAGATATTTAAAACGCTTTGGAGTGGATTGATTTCCCATTATACATGTTATATTTATACTTTTAACAATTAATCGGTTTATGTCTAAATATCATAATAATCTTTTAGCTGATTTTGTTAAAATCTTGTAGTGGTATTTACGTTAGTAAAGGCCTAATTTAGCTAGTATAATTAGATAAAAATAATTCTAGTGGCGCTCTGGAAGGTACTCTACTTCGTCGACTACGAAAAGGCATTTGATTCTCTCCATGAAGACAAAATGCTGAAAGCCCTGACGGAATTTAGAATCGGTCACAGGTACATCTTGCTGATAAAGCATATACAGGGTGAGTTTTAAATATGTGCAAATATTTTTAGGGGTAGTATATTTCGACCCCAGAATCACGATTATGAGTTTTTTTCGCAAACGAAAATTTAGAATTTTTTGAAAAACATTTTGAAATTTGTTTTAGTTTTTAGTTAAAACCTATAATTTCATGAGAATATGGCAACAGAGGTAATAGATTAAATTTAGAAGAAAGAAAACCCAGCAAATATTTGCTGGGTTATGCTTTTTTTGGAAATTTTCAAAATAAAATAACTCGGTTATTTTGGACATATTTGAAAAACGGCAAAGAGAAAATATATTTCTTTTATCGAGATTTACCAGTCCTTAAAATATTTGCACTTATTTAAGACTCACCCTGTATATGAAAGAGCTACAGCTAGCGTCAGAGCCTACGCTGACAAAAGCAAATTTCAAATGGGAAAAGGGACTGGAATATACGATCTCGCCGAAGCTTTTCACGATCTTTCTGGAATCCGTGTGCAAACAGATCAACTGGGATATGTCTGATATAAATTTGGATGGAGAAAACTTGAATCACCAACGATTTGCGGACGACATGATCTTAATTACTGACAGAATAGACGACGTATCTAGAATATTGAAGGAACTAAACAAGGCTTCACGCCAAGTTGGACTGCAAATGAACTAGGAACAAACTCAACACATGATAAACCTTGTAATGAGGAATAATTGCCTTAAGGTGAAAAACACTTCAATAGAACATGTTCCCTCTTATCAATACCTCGGTCATGAAATCAAACTTAGTATAAACCAATTTATCATCAATATTATTATCAATACCTTGGTCAATGCTGTATAACAAGGATAAATCACTTAAAATGGAACTGGGACGGTCAGGTTGCAAAAACGTCCGATAAACGATGAAAACGACGAAAAATCGGTTTGGGCCCGTATTCTGTAACTTTGAAAACGCTAAGCGCTTTTAGACGCTCAGCGTATATGACATTAATTTTCGCTGAGCGCGCACTTAATTAACGATTTCAGTATTCTCGTCTGATGCGCTTAGCGTCTTTACTGATTGCGCTGAGCGCTTTGAAAACGGTTGCCTTAAAGGATCGTTTTGCTTGTCGAACTGTCAGTGAAAATCGAAAAAATTATGATTTTGTGCGTTACCGCTTTAGTGAAAAGTACTACTTTTTCTATAAATTCCTCGATAAGTAATTGATAATTTACGACTTGGCAGCTATAAATATTGTTCAAAACATCTAAAATGCTGAGAAGCGTCTTCAACACTTCCCTCGTATAATAAGAATAATGACATATCCATAGAAAAATAGCTTGACATAGCTGAACAATAGGTTATGAAATTCACGTAACATTGACATTTTTCATTGTTATATTCGTCAGTTATCAACTTTTGACTATTACCTACGTTAGAAATTGTGATGTTGCCAATATGTGCTCAACGCGTATCCAGAACACGATTCGCATGGCAACGAGAATACCAAAATCGACTGCCTTGCGTTTCGCTGATCGAATACTTGCGCTCACCGCTTTGAAAACGTAACGTTTTTATGTCAAAGTTACAGAATACGGGCCCTGGCTATTCTTGAAAATGGTGTAACTACCAGTCTTGACCTATGCATGAAACCTGAACACTTAAAACAGACATTATAAGGAAACTGCAGGTCGCACAACGCTCAATGAAACGAAACATGCTGGTAATAACCAAGGGAGACCGTAATAGAATAGAGTAGATAAGACAAAAGACCCAGGTAAAAGATGTCATCCACAGCGTCAAATCCCTCAAATGACAAAGGGCAGGAGACCTGGCAAGTAGAACCGACAACAAATGGACCACAAAAAAATTACAGCATGGTACCCACGAGGAATTAAGAGACCTAGACCTATTATTATGATGAAGTATAGGCCCAGAATCCTTTGCAAAAGTAGTCACGAGAATGGCTACGGAACGATGAATAGCCAACAAATCTCTAGAATGATGGACAAACTCACCAGGGCAGACACAGACGAAAAAGTTCATTCACCAAAATTCACGGCAGACCTAATAAGCAAAGACAAAAAGACAGTCAAAGTTGTAGTGGCTATACAAACAAGGCATTGTAAGCTGAATATGTATCTAAAGCTAATAAGATTGACCGACGAAACCATGTGTAGTTCCTGTAAATCTGAAGAAGAAACGACAGAACCCATTTTATGTCGGTGCGATAGCGTGGCAAATGTGCAATTCTCGGTAATAGATAATGATAGGCCATTGCCAGGAAGCTACATGGAGGGTTCAATCTCCAAGTTGCTAGACTTTGTGAAAAGGATAAGACTGGGGGAGGTAACCTAAAGGGTCAGAAGAGGACCACAATAGATTTGAGAAGGTTGCAGTGGATCAGGCCGATAGCCGCCTCTATATATGAATCTAATCTCTAATCTAGTTTAATTAATAAACTTCTGTTTTTAATTAACAAATCTGCAGAAATCGTGGCAAAATATTCATCTGTATAACACCCTTTAGCCAGATTCACATTGGGGTTTCGCCCCAAATTAACACACGCTTTTTCCTATTGCTTGTTTCGTTTAATCAGACGAATATCTCGACTCAAAAACAAAAACACGACGAGCGAGCAAGCTCTCCCGAGAGCGCCGGCAGCCAATTTGGTCACGACCTTTAAGGTCGCAACACATAACGGTCCGTGTGCGAACGAACTACCGCCGATCCCGTTGCAATCTGCATTGCAAAGGATTCTAATTATTCGAAACGAAGGTCTTAATACTTTCGTTATTGTCTGGCGAATAACAGGGCCCATATTGTCGATGCCACGCTGTGGCTCTCGACTAATTGCTTCAATGCGCGACGACGGACTCGCTCAATTTAGTTGGTTGATCTAAATTATGCAGAAATCTTAATACGCTTAAACGACTGCAATTGCCAGTATTATTTCTGTATTTTTTTAAGCTTCTGCAAATTTTAATAGGAACTATTGGAAGTTTTTTTTTTAAATCATGTACCATATTTTTGATTGAGAGAAAAGAGATTAGCTCGGAGATTAGTTGAAGATCTGATAATAATGTACAGGATGGTCCGAACTGTATTCCGGAAATTTCGACAGCATATTCTGCAGATAAAAATAAAGGGAAAGGTTCGTATAAATGTATGTCCTAAAATGCTTAGTTTCGGAGATACTGGGTGTAGAAGTTTCATTTTTATTTCGATTTTTTCGAATAATTTATGAAGTAACGTCATATTTGGATGAAAATTGGTGGCTGGGAGTTTTTTCACATGAGAAAAATTTGATTTTGATGTCGATATGACTCTTTTGAAGAGTAATAACTTTTCGTCCGTACCGGTATAAAACTACCGAATGAAAAAATATACATTTTCGTGATTTTTTACGTAAAAAAAGCTAACAGCAACCGTTCTCGAGATATTTAGAATGGAAATAGTAAATACATGTCATTATTGACAAAAAATGAACATGCTGAGTAGATAGTTATTTAACCGAAATGATAAATTTGGACAATGGAAATTGGACAAAAAATGGAAATTTGGGAATTGCTTGAATTGATTAAGAAGAAAAAAACCGCATATCTGGGGCACATAATGCGAAACCCCAAATATCAATTCTTGCATCTGTTAATCGAAGGCCGGAGGGGTATCGGAAGGAAGAAAATGTCTTGGCTGAGGAATGTTAGACAGTGGACAGGCCTACACGATGTAAAGTCGTTAATAAACACCGCCAGAAAGAGAGAAGCGATGGAAAATGTTATCGCAAACATCCATTAATGGATTCGCACTAGAAGAAGACGAAGATAAATTTGGGAACTTTAAATTTTTTTATCATACATTTTTCTTCGAAAAAATTATGAATTTTTGGCATAAAACATTTCAAATTTATGATTTTAGTCTAATAACTATTTAGTCGACAATGTCAACATGTTAAATGTATGTTAATAATGACAGGTATTGATAATTTCGATTCCAAAAATCTCTAGAACCATTACTCGTAGCGATTTTTACGAAGAGACCTTTTTTACGGAAAAAACACGAAAATGTATATTTTTTCATACAGGTACAGACGAAAAATTATTACTCTTAAAACCAGTTAAAAAATATGTAGGTGGCCCTCTACAAGTAGAAGTCATATTGTCATCATAATCATCATTTCATGTCAAAAAACTCCCAGACACTAATTTTCATTCAAATATTAACGTTACTTCAGAAATGATTTGGAAAAAATCGAAATAAAATTAAAACTTCTACACCCTGTATTCACGAAACTAATGCCCCCTTGCACCGTTTGTATAAACTTTGTTTAAAGGCTAAACAGTGATTAACTATATATTTTATTATAGTTAATCACTGTTTAGCCTTTAAACAAAGTTTATACAAACGGTGCAAGTGGGCATAAGCATTTTAGGACATACATTTATACGAACGTTTTTACTTATTTTTATCTGCTGAATATGCTGCCGAAGTTTCCGGAATGCAGTTCGGACCACCCTGTATATTATTAAAATACAAATATCCCATCAAAAAACATGTAAAAACTACCACTAAAACAATGAACACTGGACAACAAACAATAAATGTAATATATAAAATACCACGTGAATGTGATAAATTTTATATTGCTGAAACATCTAGACCCTTAACTGTTCGAATGAAAGAACATAAAGACGAAAAGGCAGTTTTCGCAAATCTAAGATTTGTTAGTATGCATGGGACACAGGGCACAAAGTAGATTTTAATAACGTACAAATGACTATGAAAGAAGCGATAGCCACTAAATCAAAAATAAAAGAGCCTTTTTTAATACATTCTAATATAAATAACTGTATTGCTCAGGCATCTGTAGAGATTAATAATGTATGGCTATCGTTGATTTTAATGAACCTAACATAGATCATAACATAAGTAAACATAACATAATAGTCTAAGAGCTAGCAACGTTTTCGAGAAAGTATTTTAAGACGTCTGGCTCTTTGATATATCTTTTACTATGCTCTCTGGAACAGCGTGTAGGCCGTCTGGCTGCCGATACACGTTGTGTTAACTACTGCGCATCCAAAGAAGATGCTAGATTTTTTACTTTAAATTCTAGTATTGAATAAAAACCGAGTAAAGCTTGATTTTCATGCATCCGTTAAGGCCTGGTTTTTCTGACCAGATCGGCCCGAAATATTTCGGCGAATATTTCCGTACAGAACGCTCTAATTTACCGAACTCAGTTTGTTCCGAAGTTTCGTCTGCGTGTGGTTTGTCGGAGATTAAATTCGTTATGATTAGGTATTTCAGTTCGGTCTATTCAATCATTAAAATTTTGCGTTGTGTGTACCTAGGTTCTTTTTACGCTTCTAAATGGATTTTTTTATCGCTATGATTTTAGAAGAACAGGATGATGATGATGAGTACTATGCGTTATTAGAAGTATGTTCTGAACATAATAGAGTTCTGAAAATGTTTGAGAATAGGGACAAAGAAGGTGCTTACAAACTGTTAGTGTTAAAGCATCTTTCGGATAATGATACAAAGTTCAAAGATTTTTCCGTTTAACTCCACAACTGTTCCATACTGTACTAAATTACATAAAGAATGAAATAAATTACATAAAGAAAAAATAAACAGCCCAGCTTTTTTAGAAACACCGTGAATAATTTTATTATTCAAATGCGTGACAAGAAAAGAAAATCGACGGGTCTAAATATGTTTTCGAGAAATAAACACTCGAATTTTAATTACTTTATTGATTCACTTTACACACATACTGTAAATAGTAATTTTATAAAAATAAATCCGCCGAAATTCACAATTTTTTTTTCACAACCTTAACCTAACCTAACAAGTTCGGCGAACTACGCCGATTTGAGATCGTTCAAATCAAAACTAGTTTGATACAGACGAACTGCTGTCCGCATACGTTCCCGAAATTTCGTTCCGATCTAGACAAACCACTACTGCGTCCTACACATATACTGGGTTTGGCCGGAACCGCTAACGAACTTTTCGTGCTATATCACCGAAATATTTCGGGCCCATCTGTTCAGAAAAACCAGGCCTTTATACGTTGGTACGTTGGTCCGACGGTGCTCTGATTGGTCATAGCGTTTTCGCGCCACTTTTCATCTGTAAATATTTTACTTCAGCCCGTCAACGGACCCGTTCATACGATAACGGACGTTTTGACACTTTTTTGACAAATTTAATCTAACAATAATAAAAATATAAGTAAAATAGCAAAATCGTTATGAAAACGAAAATATAAAATAACACCAACGTATATCCGATAAACGGAGGCATGAAAATGCAATAAATTTAAAAACTGCGTTATTTTCTAACCAATCAAAGTCTTTAAATTCTACCAATAAAATTAATATCGTATCAACGTATCGTCGGACAACGGATGAATGAAAATCAAGCTTAAGTCTCCATTAGCTCGGCGCGTAGAGCTTTCGCCTATGAAGCGAAGGTCAGTGGTTCGATACCGACTGGGGGTGCAACTTTTTTTATTTTTTTGTCGTTTATATTCTGATAGTAAAGTATTAAATATGTTTAGCCGACTATACCAATGGTAGGCTATTAAGATCGACAAAAAAAGTTTTTTTTAATTTCACTCAAAATGAGTTATTTGGGTCATAAATGACCTAGGTACAAAATATTTTCATGGTGTCTGTCTGTCTGTCCGTCTGCCGTCTGTAACACGATAACTCAAAAACCGCTGAACCGATTTTAACCAAATTTGGCACAAAAATACTGTGGCACCCGAGAATCTGGCTATAAGTTTTTGGTGGGGGTGGGGGGTTGGTAAGGGGGTATGGAAGGGGGTAAAAAATTTTAAAAAATCGTAACTCCGATATCACAGTAGCTAGCGAAACGCGGTTTTCAAATTAAGATTAGGAATAATATTTGCAACAAAATTTGTAATAACATCAAAATCAGTCAAAGTCGCAGTTTTCGAGATATTAACATATTTTAGTATGGGCGGCTATACGTGCCTCCTGGCGCCAATTTTTTTATTTTTTTATCACCAGAACGGATGGCGTTTATGGGTTTATGATCCGTAGTGTATATAAGTAGAATTTGATACTTTCATTTGTTTTGAAGGATTATTGTGGTAATTAATTATTAGATACGTTTAGGATGGTCTGGCTGCCGCGCCGGTAGATTGCGTTCAATACTGCGCATCACATGGGTACAGGGTGTCTCATTTTCATGCGTTTTTTGGGATTTTTCGTTTATGAGTGGAGATACAATGATGCGTTTTTTTTTTCACATTACTTTGCTAGTTTTTTGTGTAATTAAATATTCTACCCATCATAGATTTGCGCATTTTCTACACATTAACATTAATCAATCTTTTTTAAAAAGTATTATTATTTTATTTTATTTAATTTAACCAGATAATTTTGTTTTCCATCGTTATCTTAACAAACTGAACTGAAAATAAACTTGTGTAGCTTTTAGATAACAATCTGTTAAAGAAAAGTATTATTAAAATGATTATTAAAATAATAAAGAACAGCTGAAAAAAATATTTGGAAGAAAGACAGGCAGAAATTACGTTAATATAGCATTAAAATGTTAATTTTTATATATTATGTTTAAATCTTTAAAATGAAATTATAAAAGAATTAAATATTTTTATGAATGAGGCAAGAAAAAATTACGGCCAACATTTTTAGTTTTATTTTTAGACATTATGTTTAAATCATTACAATCTAATTATTATAATTGAATTAAATATTTTTATTTAATATTAGTGTCAGCAAATATTTATTACTTTGCTATCAGAATATAAACGAAAAAAAAAATAAAAAAGTTGCACCCCCAGCCAGTATCGAACCACTGACCTTCGCTTCATAGGCGAAAGCTCTACGCGCCGAGCTAATGGAGACTTCCTCGGTTTTTATTCAATACTAGAATTTAAACCGCTAAGTAAAAAATAGAGGATCTTCTTTGGATGCGCAGTAGTGAACGCAACGTGTATCAGCAGCCAGACGGCGTGCACGCTGTTCCAGAGAGCATAATAAAAGATATATCAAAGACATTGCTAGCTCTCGTACTATAAGTAAAAATTAAACACAAATAAAAAATAATCATAAATGTAATATATACTATATCATTTACTGAAAGTTTGAGGCTTTTCGGTTTTACCTCATTACTACTCCTACTACTACTGCCATTACTGGCTGACGTTTATTTGACACGCATCAGAAGATGGTTTCGCAAGGCGTTTTCTTTCATGAGCTTTTCTGTGACTGAAAAGTCCGATACGTGATGTTATCTCTCTTCAGCATTCGGGACATTCAAAAATCTCATTACTTTGTTGCCTCTTCACTTTTTGGTTGCCGTTGCTGAGTTTACAATTCTTCTCATTCTGCATGCTTATCCCCTTTAACTTTTCATGGAAAATATCTTTGTATCTTTTGAGCTGTCCACCCGGTTTCCTCTTACCCTCTACAACCTCACCGTAAAGAAGAGATTTCGGTAGGTGGTTTTCTTGCATCCTGCATACGTGGCCAGCCCATCTTAAGCGGGATTAAGTAATCATGACTTCAGCGCTCTCGCATCTAACTTTTTCAAGGACTGATACGTTTGAGACATGGCGGTACCATTTGATTCTTAACAGTTGTCTAAGGTGTCTCTGTTGTAACTTGTTTAATGCGTTCATGTGCCGGCGATACGGCACCCAGGTTTCGCTTCCCAAGTAGCATCTATCTGACTTCGAACTAAATCTGACCTGAAGCGATGTCAGACTTTGTGCAAATTTTGGTCGGGTGCTGGTGATATGACCGGTGACGTCGCTTTCCTATTAAAAGCGACGTCGTTGGATCCGAGTCAGTAAATCCAACGATCTGTCGACGTACAAAATAACAACGTACCATTTTTATTAATTTCCCAACTACTTGAACTAGCCCGACGTCTACCCGTTGTCCGAATAGGATACGTCTCACTGATAATCCCTAAAGTAACGTCCAATTATATTTTGTTGTATTTTATGTTCATATTTATAACCTAATTTACGTATCTGTATTTACGTCCGTAAATACAACCCATTAAGTGCATTTGCGGCCTAATGAACATCATGAACATAACCTAATAAAAGTTTTTGTAAACAAACTTAATTTTTTTTAGTATGCCCAAAAAACGCTAAAAAGGCATTTAGACGTTCATCTACATTTTACAGAAAGAGGTCGAGGCTTTTGCAAAATAATAATAGTAGTAGTGATATCTTGCCTCCACCCACGAATGTTTTTTTATCCGGAAGAGATGCTGCATTACACTGGTGCATCTAAATTTCATTTTTAAGCTTAGGAAACCAGCAGACCCCATCCTCCTCCCACTGTTATGTACTGGTTCCAATTCTTTTAAATTTTGTATATATACTATCTTAAAAAAGTGGCTGTCCATTTTTTTAAGGAGAAAACAAAAACTAAAATATAGTTGCACAAATCCACAAATCACTGATACGCAAAGTGAGGTTACGTGGCGTACGTTGGAATTATATACGTCATAATACGATTGCCGGTCGTCCGGTTTGATGACTTCGGTCGTGTGGGACGACTAATGTTGGAGACCCGGTCGGAATTGGTATATTGGTAGTTCATATTAAGTCGAACACAGAAATCCGCCATTCTTAACAAGTATCCGATTGTCAGCCATTTTAAAATCGTTTTTTGTTTTTAAAATTTATGTTCACATTCCGATTTCTAGTAGGATAATATTGATAAGGTTGATTTTGGGGAGAACCACATTACAGTTTTATGATTAAACCAGCTAGAAAATAAAAAAAAAATATTTTGCGAGTTACTTTTTATAGATATTTTTATTTCATAAATCTACCTAATTTTGAAGGCGCTCGTTGTTTTCCGGAGTATTTTAATCAAATATATCAAGAAAGTGACTTCCGTTGACAAAACTGATGTCTGGATTAATGATTCAGAATTATTATAATATGAAATTAGATAGGCACTTATAGTTATATTCGAGGAGTGATTATGAATCCATTTGTAATTAAGTAGTTTGGTTAGGTTTTTATGTATTCTTGTTGGCGAATATGAAACCAAACGTAACGTAAATGCTTAGCGACGAATTTTAAGTGACTAAAATCCAACGTAATATGACGTTGGTAATTGGTAGAATTACATTCCCTATTAGGTCAGATACCGACGTCGAGGCGACCCGAATCTGTATTCCCCATTTAGGTGCAAATAAGGGTCGTCAGGCGGTCGAACCGACGTTGGTACCCGACGTCGGGTTTATTGAACGCGACGTATACCCGACGTTAGATAACATCCAAATGCTACTTGGGTTATTATCTCATTAAGTAATTATCAGATAGTAATTGTTAATTTTGATGTTGAATTTAAAGAGTGTGAAACTTCTAGAAGTGCTTTATAATTTTGATGAATGGTGAGTGAGTCACTGTCAAAATTTTTATTATTATTTTATTTAAAATTAATTAATGTTCTTCTATAAACCTAAAAATAATATCCAAAACAGGAACCCCTTTAAGTGCTTCTGTTTGTAATTGTCAACAAGGACTAAATCCAGAACTAACAAAAACCAATTTTAAATTAATTTTCCCATCGTTACCTCGAAATTAATTTTCTGCAAATTCAATTTCGCCCTATGCCCAAATAGTAATCTACCTAAAAAGTTTATTCCATTAAAGTTGTACGGTTGTTTGCACTAATTACGTAATATCTTGCTTTAATAAATGAGGTTTTATGTATGTGCATTAAATTAGTTTCAATGTCAACCGCTGTACGATTACAGGTACCTACATCCTCTTGCACGATGATATTAATACTCTGTAATCAAATAATCATCATATTTATATGTATGTCTGACATTCACGACCATTCGTGCTTTCAATTTATAAAAATGACTATGAAAATAAAATAAAATGCAAATATTTGTTTTTATTAAAATTATATTTTTTTTTAAATGGAGTGGTGTGCATTTTGTCATAATCTTCAGGCAAATTCTTCTTTTTTTTAATTATTTTATAATTGTGGCCTTTCAACAATAATTATATTAAATACACTATACAGGGTGCTACAAATTCGAAGTACGAGCATTGGTACCTCGGAAACCGTAATAGAAACGAAGATGGTTAAATTGGGGCAAAGTTGCGTCTTGGGATATTCACCAAGATGGCATCAAAAAAGTTTTTAATATTTCAAGGACTGCTGAGTTTTTTTCCAAAAAACTGATTTTTTGGAAAGTCTAATTTATTTTTTCCTGTCGTTACTTTTTAGAAAATCAAAAAATTGATTGCACATTCTCACAGCCACTTTATTAGGGCTATCTGACAGTATTTTTAGATTTTCAAATTAGCTGATAATTTGTGAGATACAGAGACCAACTTAATTTTTTTAATTACGGACCTACATTTTTTATTTCAGGTTTTGAAAGAACTCGGTTTCCTGAGTGCAATGATATGTCACACTTAATACTTTTTTTGTTTTGGGTACTTTAACAGCAACAAAACTCTTTAATTATTATTTAAAATAATTTCAAGTTCGATTCTGATTTTTTAAATTATTTAATTTGATTATATTAGTCGCAACAATATTGATCAGCGCTAATTAACATTTAATAAGGAAAATCGAACCAATTCAAAAATTCAAATAAATAATATCCAGGTCAGCAATTT